AAGAATTGGCAAAGCAGATGAAAGAATTTAGAGAAAATGGCTGAAGAAATACTAAATTTGAAAATCAAAGGGGTACAGGGGAGAGCATGATTGCAATCTCTAGGAATTCTGGGGTAAAATCAAGAAACCAAGCCTAAGAATCCATTCGATGTAAGAAAAAGGGTAGATAGCAAAAAGGCTTAAAGAAAATCGATTCAATAAAGTTATAGCAGAAGTCCCAGATGTAGAAAAAGACAAACACAAGAGACATTTAGAGATCCAAATGAGCCTCACCAAAAGAAGAATTTTGCTGTGACACAATAAAGATGTCAAAAACACAAAGCCAAGAAAAAGTATTAAGCCCTGTAAGGGAGAAAACCATCAACCCACCTGCATGGGCAAAACCATAAGTATTGTATCAGCTCACCCATTATTAACCCCCAAAACCAGGAAAGCATGAAATGCTGTATCTCAATTGCTGAAAAATAAAAAAAATTAAAAAAGAGAAAACTATGAACCAAAATAGTTAAATTCTGCAAGGCCATCTTTTGACTTTGATAAAAACACAAGGATATTTTAAGAAAAGCACAAACTCAGGTTATTAGATACCATGGTACTATAGCTATTTCCTCAATATTTTGCCAATTCATAAGCATGGGAGGCCTTTCAATCTTCTAGTGTCTTCTTTAATTCTTCCTTCAGCATCCTAAAGTTTTCATTGTGAAAGTCGTTTTGCCTCCTTAGTTAAATTTATTCTGAGGTGTTATTTTTGCTATTGTGAGTGGGATTCCCCCAACATGTACCAGTTTCTTTCTCAGCAAGTTTGTTATTGGCATACAGAAAGGGGAAAGCTTGTATTAATTGAAATAATCCAGAATCAGGATCACAAATATAGCTCTTTGTTTTCTCCAAAACCAAGAACTACATTTAAAATTTTTACATGTATCTGTTTACATATGGAGTCATGAAAGTAGAAAAGAGGTCATGGGAGAGAAAAAACTTTTAAATGTAGGAAAAGGGAGTATAATGGAGTACATAATAAGAAAGCAGAGGTACCGGGGCATCTTGGGGAAATCAGAGAGTAAGCCAGAGGTGTCAGTGGGTTCTGGGACAGCAACGAAAAAGGGAAACACATTAGAATGTCAAACAGGTATGGAAATATATATTTGTCTTGGTTACTTTTCTATTGTTGTAACAAAACACAATGACCAAGTTAGAAGCTTAAGTTAGAGGCTTACAGTTCCGGGAGTGTAGAGTCTGTGATCATGGTGGTGGAGAGCATGGCAGCAGGCGGGCACACATGAGCTCAAGGAGTAGCTGAGAGCGTGCAACTGACTCACAAGCATTAGGCAAATACTGAGAAATCTAAAGGGGCGTGGCCTGGGCTTTGAAACCTCAAAGCCCATCCCCAGTGACACACCTCCTTCAGCAAGGCCACAGCTAATCCTTCTCAAACAGTCCCATCAACTGGGGGTGAAATAGTCAAATAAATAAGTCAATGGGGGCATTTTCATTCAAACCAGCACAATGTTAATCTGCAACTTTAACTAAAGAATAAAAATAGTTCATTGTGCTGCATCTGATATGTTCAAGCTAGGCATTCTTGGATATTAGAATGGCATTTTTATATTGTTGCAAGATTTCTTGAAATGATTGGATTAATTGCACTACAAATGGGACACATGCTATACATAATGAGTAGTTGGTATTAATGTTGACTTTGGCGATAAAAAAAAAGCATGTGTTGCAGACTACTTGGTTTTTTGTTGTTGTTGTTGTTGTTGTTGTTTGTTTTATTTTGGGTTTTTTTTTTTTTTTTGCCAGATTATTTGAGTAGGCGGTTTAGCTTTATCCTAAATGGAAGATTTTATCCCTTCTTTAGATAACATAGAAGTTACAAAATTTGCTCAAGGATATAAAGCTGTTAAGAGGCAAAGCTAGGATTCACTCCAGGATGTTCAGAGTCCAGTATCTTGATGCTCATGACTGCACTAACTTATTGGCTGATGTATCTGTTGTCCATCTATCCATCTAGCCATTACTTAAAAAATGATTCTGATAGTTAAAACAATTGAGCCAGGCATTTTACCATCTTTTTTTTAAAATCACATTTATGTATTTTGTGTATATGTATGGAGATCAGAGAACAACTTTTGGGAATCAGTTTTGTCCTTCTACCATGTGGGTTCTGGACATCAAACTGAGCTTGTCAGGCTTAGTGGTAGGTTTACTTAACTACTGAACCATCTCACTGGCCCTGAGCCAAAATTTTATATACAGAGAAAAATACCCATAAAAATGTGTCCTCAACAGTATATCTAATGAACACATTGTTCTCTGTGATCTTATCTAATCTTATCTAATCTTCAGAATAAGCTATCTAATTTCTCTTCCTCTTCCTCCTCCTCCTGTGTCTCCTCCTTCTTCTTCTTCCAACCTTGCCTAGCTCATAAGTCCCTAGCCAAATTGCTCAGATCTGAAATTACTCCTAAGACCAAATGCTTTCATTGACCCTCACTCTCTACCACAGATCCAGAAGAGACTTCAGAATATACCTGCAGTCCCAACTAATGCAGAAAAAGTGCCTAGAAGACTGAGGAAGAGAATAAGAAGTCTCCTCCAGAGGCTGGGGATGTAATCAGTGGATAGGGTCCTAATCCAACATTAAACATGTGCTTAATCCCCGCACCCTATAAACTATGTGGCACACATCTATAATGCCAACACTCGGGGGATAGAGGCAGTGGTGTGTGTGTGTGTGTGTGTGTGTGTGTGTGTGCGCGTGCGTGTTTGAGATCATCTTTAACATAGTTGATATACAACTTTAAGCTTAGCCTAGGACACATAAAACGTCTCAAAAAATAAAATTTTAGGGGTGGAGGTATGGCACAGTAGTTAACAGCACTCGTTTTTGCAGATGACTCAAATTTAATTCCAAGCACACATATGGTGGTTTACAATGTCCAGAACTCCAATTTCAGGGACTCTGATACCTTCTTATGATCTCCTGGGGTATGAGGCAAGCACGTGGTGCACTGACATACATGCAAGCAAAACACGCATGGACATTTAATTAATTAAAGTAAAAATAAAACCTTAAAGGAAAGTTTCCTGCACACACACACTGGTATAGTGCCAGGGCAGAGAAAGCAGGAACAGGCCCTCCAGGGCTTATAGGCTAAACACACTTGCACCTATGTTTATTGTTTCCAAATCTTTCTACCTCAAGGGTACATGGCATTATCTTAGAGTTACAAATGAGGAAACAAATTTATGAATGTCAAGTGACTGAAGGTTCCCAAACTCGCTGAGCAATGAAGATTGAATTTCAATTGAGGACGGCTTAACCGGTTATGATAATATCCTTTCCCCCGTGCCAGATGCCTCAAAACTATTACCTGAAACAACGGCCTGCAGGAGCCAGCCAGCATCAGATCTGATCACATGCATGTCTTCCTGAGTCCACGTTCATGATATTTTCAAATCAGCGCAAAAGAGAGTTTCCAGAGAAATTGGCAGAAGCCAAAATAGGGCTCTGATGTCTGTAAAGTTGGAACATTAACCCAGGAAATGGAGGGCAGCTGTATAAACTGGCTTAGAAGTAACTTGGTAGCTGATCTTCTGTTCAAAAAAGTTAAGAGACAAGCCAGTCTCTGCACCAACCTGGAGGAGAACCAACCTCGTAGCAACCAGATTCACCAGCCTCCAAGAATTCTAAACCAATTAAGGGGTTAGAGGGCATTTTTTTTTGTTCTTTTGTTTGTTTGTTGTTTCTTTGTGAATTTCACATCCTGTACCCCAGTCCCACTCATTTCCCTCTCCCATTGTACACACCCTCCACTCTTGCAACCCCCCATCTCAAAACAGAGGGGAAAAAAATCTCTTTGTAGAAGCTGTAGTGTCAGTGTTTCCATGGTATACCCTTTTGTCTACACTTCTTTCCTTGCAAGTGTTCATTACAATGACTTGCTGGACTGGTGTGAGGCCCCTGGCTTCTGCTATTCTACCAACATTGGAACCTTACTGAGACTCCTCTCAGATACCCTATGTTGTTGGCATATGTCACAGAGATCCTGTAGTTTGGGGTCTGTAGTACCAGCCCCTTCATGCACTCCTGCAGTTCATTGATGTTGTGGTAGGTGAATTCAAAGCCCTGGATGGGGGCCTGAGAGGTGTCTGGGCTGACCAGCTCTCCTGCTCTCCTGCTCTCCTGCCCTCATACCCTTGGGCAAATTCACCAGGAACTCCCACAACCAGAGCCAGCCCTACCCTGCTGCCCAGATGAGATGCAGGGCCTGCTCTCCTGAGAGCTGCAGCAGGTGAGAGGCAGGATCAGCTCTCCTGCTCTGATGACTTCCTGGTCAGCTCTCTGGTGTGCTATAAGGGAAGGGGGAGGCAGAGGCATCTCTCCCTTGCCCATGTCACCACATGGCAGACAAGTGATGGGGCCAGCTCTCCCATGTTCACGCCCTCAGGACCAGTGGGACCCAGGTGCCATCACTGGCTACTCATATCAGGCTGTTCCTCACTACCCTCAAGTCTCCAGCTCCAACTCTCTTTATTGTGCCCATGTCCTTCCGTTTCTTTCTCTTCCATTTCTCTACCACTCACTTGCTCCTCTTATTGCACCTGGGGTTTCTGAGTGTCTGGGGTCATCTAAGGAGTGGTCTCAGGAGTGCTATTCCCCACTTGTGCATTATGGTGCTGGGCAGGGATTATCTTGGGCTTTCTCTGTCCCCTCTCCCCCAGACCTGTAAGGCACTGGACTGGTAGGCATCTCAGGCTATCTCCCTGTTCGGGCACCATGGTGTTGGTCTGGTGGTTGTTTTGGACATACTCCTTTCAATAGCCTGACAAAATGGCCCCATGAAATGGTCATCTTTCTTGGGGTCACTCTTGCCCAGGGACCCATGGTCCCACGAAGAGTTCTTCTTGTCTCTGGCTGGCTTCCCATTCTGGGAGCCTGACCAGGCCTACCTACCACCAAACTGATGGTCGCCTCAGGCTTGCCTTCTTCAGGGAATTTTAGACTCCTAATCATTCAGATGTTCGTAGGTCAGAACACTGAGCATAGCAGAGCCTCTCTCCTCTTTGCCACCTACGGATGCCCAAGTGACACAGCAGCCACATCCACAATGCTTCTAGGGTCAGGAAGGATAAATCTTTTAGGGCTCATCAGTAACATCTTTTTCCTCATTTCACTTTTATGAAACTTTAAAAGTAGGTTAAATCTATTTTTGTTTCTGTCTCTTTTTAAAGACAACAGCCTAGATTTGGCCAGGAGCCTTTAGTTATCTGACCCTTAGTATACACTAGCAAGCACCAAGAGAAACTGTTGATTCCATGTTTTATTAGTGAAGGCCCTCTGTTGATTGACTAATGGAACACCTCAACCTCATGGCTTAGAGTATGTGAGATGGCTAATTTTGACTATCAACTTGATTGGATTAAAATACCCAGGGTACTAATGAAAGTGTGCTCTGTGTGTGTGTAAGAATGGTTTCAGGGACTGAAAAATGGCCCAGTACATAAAATAACCTGCTGTCAAACTTGAAGTCCTGAGTTCAGTCCTCAGCACCAAGGTAATGGAAGGAGAGAACCAACTTCTGCTAATTGTCTTATGAGTTTACACATACACCATAGCACACATTCGCTATCTCCACACATTAAATAAACATTTTAAAATAAATAAGTTAATTTTTTTAAAGGGATGTTTTCAGAGAAGATTCACCGAGTAAGAAAGAATCCATCCTGACTTAATCTGTCACTGTGAGCCAGGGGCCAGTCCAGAACAAGAAAGCCATCTAAATACTGGCATCCTTCATTCTCCTTCTAATTGGTCAACAGGTGAGCAAGCAGTTTCCTCCTGCCACAGACAGAAGCTGATCCTTCTGCTATGCCTCCCTACCACAATGGGCTATCTGCTCTGGATTATGAAGCAAAATAAACATTTCCCCCCTGCAGTTGCTACTTGTTAGATATTTGGCCAAAACAGTAAGAAAAGTAACTAACACACTGTAGATATTGAAACACCATCAGCATAGGGCATGTCATCAAGAGTCAGTAGCCTGACACCAAACTGCCATCTGCTTGGGCAGGCCTTTCTGATCACAGAGCCCAATAGGGAACAAATCTTGGGGGAGCATGAACTGAACTGCTGGATGCAATCAGAATGGCTTTGATTTCTCTGCATATTTGCAGCAAAGATTTGCAAAATGGTACAGATGTCTCTTTTGCCAGATGTCACCTTACAAGAGGACATGATAGGTCTTATTTCTAAGGTCTGGGTAATTAAGACAGAGCTAAATTAAGGATTCAGAAACCACAGCCCCATTCTGCCTTTATCACCTCTCTCTTCTTCCTCAGGTAGTGTTTTCTATAAAATGTAATAGATGAAGACCTAGTTTAGAGCCAAACTAGCAAGAGCAGAGACTGGTTAGCAGGTAATCAGACTGTTGACAAAGCTTCTGCAAGGGTTTTGCACTCTCTGTCTTGACTTGTGCTTCTGTGCTCTTTCTGCAGCATTAGGTGGTAGGGGAGGTTAAGATGAGTACCAAGGGGGAAGATGGATGGAGCGAGTGTGCCTGTATAAGTTAACCTTTTGACCTGAAGCTAAGAAGAAAGGAAATGCTTTAGATTTTGATTTCTGAATGGATCCTGTTGCACATGCCAGGATATATGAACTAAAAGAGTAAAGAGTACAGATTCCCATGTGCGTACAGAAAAACTCATTCAGTCAGTCAGAAGTTTGGTCTAGGTACCCACATGTTTTTAAGTTATTCTTGTCCAACTAAGCATACATATTTAGAAAGACAAATGGTGTGTGTGTGTGTGTGTGTGTGTGTGTGTGTGTGTGTGTGTGATAAAAGTAGAAAGAATACATATAGAGGAAGGAACGGATGTTGGGGAGAAGAGGGAGGAGAGAAGGAAGGATACTATGCTATGCATGTGTGAAAATATCATAGTGAAATTCATTATCTTGTACACTAACTTCAAAGCATTTAAAAATAACACTAGCTTATCAGATCTTTGAGTACTCAGACACAAGGAAGAAGCTCACTCTGAAGATGCCCTTCTGGGAAAAAGAGGAAGTTCTCCTGCTGTGGCCTCTAGTGGCTGAGCCCCCACTGGAGCTGTCCAGCACTTCTCAAACAAAAACACTTGGACATTTTCTGTAAGTTTAAACTGAAACATAATTATCAGATTCCCTGGTTTCTCTCTGTTCTCCATAAAGTCACTCTCCAGAGGTGGCTCATGAATCACAAAGTCTGTTTCTTTTCTTAATCTTGGCTATTACGTTTTGTCTACATAAACATTTTTATGCACTATGGGTTTTTTCTGTGTATATTGTAGTAGTGACTATTATATGATTTTATAACATCACTAAAACAAATAAAAAGCTTAAGAAGGGGCTGTTGTATATAAAAGCAGCTGAAAACACTGATTCAACTCTAACTTTTAAATGTAAGGAGCCACTTTTCAAATCATGTGGAAGACTAGTGGTTTTGTGCAACTCACAGAAATGAAACAGAATAAAAACAACCACAAATCCTTTATAAATAAATCTTCCTGGACAAGATTATTCTACGTAATCTACTTGCTTCCTGGGTGTTTTTTTTTAAACTTTATCCAGTAGCTGTATAGAAGGAGGAAAATATTTTGCATCTACATTTTTTTCCTTCACTTTTGGCAGTTAAATCTGGCCACAGGGTGTACATATGGTCTAGACTTAATAATCAAAATAATCCATCCCCCTGGCCAGTGGTTGATGGTTCCAACATGGACATGTGACCTGAACTGGAAAAAAATCAGTCTTTTCCTGTGCATTTTATCTATAGTTAGATGTGACGAGTCCTGTCACTCTGGAGTCCTACATCACAGAGTTCATATGACCCTTCTACCCCAAACAACAAATCTTCCAAGGGAAAGCCAAGAGAAAATTCCAGGGCGAAAACATGTGGTGGGAAGGAAGCCTGAGCATGTCCGTTAAGCATCAACACACAGCATTTGTCGGCTTCCCTGTGCCCTTGCTGATGAGCTAATTCAGGGCTTACCATCCCTTTTCAGCTGGTGGGAAACAGATATCTATCACTGTATAAAAGTCATCTCATCTACAGAGAACTAAAACTATCAACGGTTTTTATATCATAGTTAGGCAAAGCACGGCTTCTGCTCTGCTGAAGCCATTTGCCTTTTTCCAGAGCAAGGACAAGATATTGTCTTCCCATACAAACAACGACTTTTATATATCAAGTAAAATTTTAAAAGGCTGCAATTACCCAAGTATAATTTGACCTTGCATTCATGACAATGTGGAAAGCTACATCTCAAACCACTGGCCCACAGAAAGTCAACGGCGCATGCTCTTCACGTTACATCAAAAGGAACTCTCGTAAAATGCTGATATCAAATGATACTGTTATGCAAACACAACGCCCGTGGCATATAAAGTGAAGGAAAGTGCACGGGCTATAACATATTCATTTCGTATGGTGGAAATGATTGAAATTCAGTGAGCGGAGGAATTCCTGACTCCTGTGCAGCGTGTGAAAGAGGTTGAAGCGCTTGGTGGCTTTTTGCATTCAGCTGTCATTGAAAACCTCTCCTGTACAAGAATTGTCATGTAAGTCATTTTGTGATCCACGGGGTAGACTGAAAAAGGACACTGGGATTGTTCCTACTACTACAGCAGCTGCATGTCCAGCAAGGACGCGCACCTGAATGCCAATGCCTGCATTCCTTTATCATCCGGGAGCTCCTCGGGTTAAACTACCCAAAGCTAACGGGGATAAAGGTGTCAGGTCAGCAGTGGCCACGGAGCAACTAAAGCCACTTCATTTCAGAGGGTTAGACAAAGAAACACGACACTGTTTCTACATTAAGATTCACCTGCTACAAAGCAAAGGACACGTTTGAGACTACTTCTTTATTGTTACATAATAAGAAATACATTCAGTGGGCCACCTTGATGATTTCTAACTGCAATCCAGTGGCAGTAAGTACGCTCGCACTGTTGCAACAGTCCCTATAACTCTCTCCCCTTACAATGCTGAAGCTCTACCCTCAGAGCGCATTCATCTCCACTCCCCCAGTAAAACCTTCTTCCTATTTCCAGTGTTTATGATTTTGATTACCATAGCAAGTTCATAAGCGTGAGACCATACAATATGTATTCCTGTGTGTATTTGCTGACCTTAATATCATCAGTGTTCATCTGTGGAAGTATTGTCCTTTTTAAGGGCTTTGTGATGTATATATACAGAATAGATAGAACTCGTGGGTGGGCAAGGAGGTCTTCAACCATTCTCGGTGCCATTCTCAGGCAGCTCCCGTCTTCGTGTTTGGCAGCTGTGAACAGCAAAAGTAGGGCGATGGGAGCAGCAGGCAGTGGCATCCCCTCCTGTTTCCAGGCCAGAGGAGCAGGGCCCCTAGATCTGAAGGTGTTAAACCCTCAGTGTACGTGTAGAGACTTTAGAGTCCCCAGCCAGTGTCACACCATCCAAGTAACTCTAAGTATCAGGATTCCCCTCTGTTTGGTGGTGGTAGGTCTCTCTTTGTGCAGGTCTAGAACATGAGGGTGCTTTAACAATGGCCAGTGTTACAGCTTTTAGCCTAAAGTCGGAAACCCTTGGCCCTAACACCTTCAAGTGGCCATTGCCTGCAGTTTCTCCTCTCTGGCTCCTTGCAGGCTCTTACACATCTTCAGTCTCAGCTTTCGAAGCCCTCTCTATGGACCTTCTTCCTGTGGCCACTCTTGGATGGTTTGACTGCTTCTTTTTAATCTCTCCAGCAGAGCTGACTGCGTTGTCCCTAGCCTCTCCGCTAGCCTCTAGCACTCTGTTGTTTCTGCCACATCTTTCTATTAGTAGCCCTGCTACTGGAAGTGATCAGGAAGAGATCTCTTGAGAGAAACCTTTTATGAAGCCTAATGCCACCATACCAAGGATGGCACCACTAGAGAGTATCTCTCAGCTGACTCCTTTGGAGCCCAAGAGACCTGCTTATATCCTAGCCACACCCCAGCCGCTTTTTCTAAACCAGTAACAGTCTTGTCTCTTAGATTCAGCCACAGTCATTAAGATTAGTATTTTGACCAATCACCATTTAGGTCCATTCCTTTTAAGGTGACCAGGGAAAGTGCTCCCCTCTAAC